AAATGTTGTATTCTTTTGTAAAAATCCATATTATTCCTGTGTGCTTGTAGTAGATGCGTGTGAGCAGTAGACATAATTATCAGTTATGATTTTAGTCCTTTTTAGTATCACTCTCTGACCATTTTATTGTATCCCCCTCATAGCATATATTTATTAAGCAGATATTTATGGAAAATACTTTGCTATGGCAATTATTTGAAAACAAGCAAATTTCATGAAGGCCTTGGAGTTACTGAATTACCAGGTCTGAATGAGGCCCAAGCATATCCATTTTAAACTAGCACCCTCAGGTGATTTTTTTTATTTTGCATATAAGGCAAACACCTTTGAAACTATCCCACAGATGAAGAAATAGACCTTTCCCTGCCACTGCATAAGTTCACCTCCAGTCCAGTCCTAATCACGGTCTCCTCATCACCCTGACTATTCTGACTTCTACAGTAATCATTTTCTTACATATCTTTATTATCACCTAAGTGAATATAACTAGACAGTAAAATATAGTTTCGATATGTGTGTGTGATCTGTCTTTTAGGTATCTTTTAAATTAAAAGCTTTTGTTGCCTCCCCAACCTTTCTTCTTTGCGGTTTTATATTTTTAATAATGTGTATATGTGAGCTGTAGAGTTTCCCACATTTTGGATTTTGCTGACTGCATCCTTATGTACTTTAATATGTTTCTTCGTTCAAAGGTAGTTAGCTCTAGAGGCTTGATCAGATCAGGATGTTTGTTTTGTTTTTTATTTCCCAGACCACAGGGAGTGGCATGTAAGAGGCACATATGTTTGTTTCTTTTCTTTTTATCATTTGAGCAGCTATTGATACTCAAAGCCTAGTTGCAGTAATTCATTAGGAGTTGTAGACATGGTGATGTTCTGTCATTTCTTCATTTATTAGCTGGAATACATCTATAAAAAAAAAAAAACGCCCCCTCAGTTACTATTTACTTATCCAGCGGTAGAGTTTGTGTATGCTTGACTCTTTCCCCTTTCCCTTTACTTCCCAACTTCTAAAAGTATTATTATAAACTCATAGATTTAAGTATTTGGTACGTTTCAGTTTATTGCAAATATTATCCTTATTGAAGTTTAAAGTGTCCTATTTTTGGCCAATGGGAATAATGTCAAGTTGACTCCTTAGTCCAATTTAAACAATATTTTTGATTATGATTTAGCATCACAGAATGCTAATTGCATTTAGAACAATGAACAGGCTGAAGACCCTATTTATATTGTTTTTCTTCTGCCCAATATGTTAATAATTTTACAAGGAAGTAGCAATAAGTAGAGCTGCTAAAATATTTGTGTTATGAAGTTTCATGTTCCCACTGCCATCTCCAGTGCTCCTGAAGTAAAAAAATAAACCTAGGAAAATTCATTTGAACCCTATCCTCTAGGCCTATATGCAGTATAATTTGAAATAAAATGAAGTAGAATAAAGCAGTCTTATCATGCATTTTGAGCCTATGTCTATATTCTTGTATCACTGGTTGTTGATATTCAAATATTGCATTGACATTTTTCTCCCTCTGTTCACTTTCTACTGTTTTTTTTTTATTGGAGCTGTATCGTTATACATTGAATATTTATTTCTTAGACTGCATTGGTTTCAGTGGATTTGTTCTTTGTTATTTTTTAGCTTGATTTGAGTCATCATAACTTAACACCCTCTCCATTTCAAGCTAAATAATATACCCTGACCAACAAAATTTGGCAAAAGTGTTATTGATTGGGAGGAGCTCTGGTTATCTTTCAAAAGGATGGATGAACTGAACATTCTGACTTTGGGAAGGTCAGGAACTTGTGGTTTTAAGATACTGCCATCAGATGACTCAGTTTCATCCACCTTTCTTCACTGTGTGTCTCAATTTAAATTTTCGTGATTTCCTAGAAAAAATGATCTGTTTGACCCAGCTTGCTTCATTCAGTTCTGACTAGAGAACAGGGTTGGTAGCAAAGCTATGGCACTGGAGGATTTTGTGAACTGGTCACCATCTTTGTTTTATTTGTTGTAGGCTGTAGCCTTTCTCATTCCTTTTCTTCACTTATAAAAATATTTTTCTGTGACTAGACTATAAAATTCTGGAGAAAAAGGACTATTTTGTCTACAGGAGCATCCTTATACCCAGCATATATACCTAGTGCCTGGTACATAGGTGGTGTTTAGTGATATATTTCATTTAAATTGAGGAAAACGTATGAACTCCAGGTATTTTTTTATCGTTGGGACTCCTCTGATGTCTGTGGATGAAAATAAAGGTATTTACTCCTCTTTTGTATTTTATACAAAATATAGATAGACTGTACATTAGACTCTGAGTTTCTTTAGAGACAGAAGCATAGCCTGGTTTCCCACAAAAGCAAAGACTTATGTGATTGGAGTTCATCTGCAAATGTGATCCCAAGAAATAGGTGGAGAGGGACAAGTAGAGTGAAATGTGGAAGCTGGAAGAAGCAATGTAAACATTATCAAATGGGCCACTGCAACAAGTAACCAGTTGCTTGATCCTACAGAATCTTCTGAGAAACCTCATGAAATATGCCTCAGAACTCTCCAGAAGGATCCATAATAAAGGGGGGAGAATTTATCTGTGGGCTTCTATTGCTGATTTGGCAAACTTTGGTCTGTGGGTCTTTACCTTCCTTGTACTGCTGGAGCTCGCCGTCCTTTGGCAGGAAGCAAGAGGTACATGGTGGGGACTGAGAGGAGAACCATCAGGTTGCCCTGTGCAAATCCAGTTACCACAGCACAGCAGCTGTAGTATTTGAAATGGCACATGGGATGTTCAATACAGTCTTTGATTAAAAGATCTCATTAAATGGTACCCTACTCTGGTGTTCATTAAAGACAATCAATAAAACAAAAAAACTTGTAACCTTTAGAATTGTAAGCAACTTAAGATTTATCTGATCTAATCCTCTACCATTTACTTTTTGTTTTTTTTTTATGTCTTGATTCTCTAGCTCTTTTCCTTTCACCCTCTATTCCAAGCAGGGTCAGTCTCACCCTCCATAGAGAAGGCCATTTTCTTTTTTGCCTTCATGCCTCTAAGTTCTATCCACTTAAAAGTGCTTCTGTTCCATTTCAGAAGCCTATAAAACTACTTAGTGGCCCTTGTAGTAATAGCTTGTGTGATAAGGACTATCCAGTTATAGTGTTAGTACACAGCAATGCTTTTGTTTGTCTTTGATCCTCTTGGAAGCTTGTAAATTAGAAAGTTAAACGACCTTACTGGTTTTCTTTTTGTTTTTTTATGGACATGCAGAAATGAAAATGAATGAGGAAAATATGGCCAAGAATATTGGGATGGTATTTATTGGTTTCAAAATGCATTTATTATCCTCAAATAGATAAGAGTTGCTTCATTGTTCTCAACTGTATTTCAGAACAGTGAACATATATAGTCCCAAAATATACAAATTGGGATATATTCTGTATTAGTCTGTTTTGCACTGCTGTAAAGGATTACCGGAGACTCGGTAATTTATAAAGAAAAGAGACTTATTTGACTCACTGTTCTGCCTGGTGGTGGCATCTGCAGGGCTTCTAGTGAGGCCTCAGGAAGCTTAGGATCATGGTGGAAGATGGAGGCATACCAGATCTGTCGTGTAGTGGGAGTGGATGCAAGAGATTGAAGAGAGGTGCCCGGCACTTTTAATCAGTCACCTCTTCAGTTAACTGATAGAACAAGAACTCACTCATTACTGGGAGAATAACACCATGTCATTCATGATGGATCCATCCCTATGACCCAAACACCTCCTATTAGGTCCCACCTCCAACACTGGGGATAGCATTTCAACATGAGATTTGGAGGAGACAAACATCTAAACTATATCAATTCTATTTTTTAAAATTCACAAATTGATTTCCTTCTTTTACCGTTTTTTTTCAAAAGTCCATAAACAAGCACGTGATAAGATTTTACAGTTTGATTGATTTCACTATTCAAAGGGTAAAGTTGTGATTTTAGAGGGTAATTATTAATTTGTGCTAGAGTTTGATAGCAACCCTAGGGTTATAACTTTTGAGTGTGTTAGACCACATTGTTTTCTCTCAAGTGTTTCTTTAACATGTGGATCTAATTCACTGGTTTCCTTTCTTTCTTTTTTTTTTGGCTTGTCCTTATGACTCATAGGTACTTCTGCTCTGGAGGCACTTCTGTGGAATATTTATTTATCTATTTATTTATTTTAAAGATGTGGGTACAGTTCAGGATTAGGTACATAATTGGTCATTATGCAGGTAAAGTTTGGGTAACCTTATTGATGTTATGTGTCCCCCTCACTTCTGTGAAATTTTGGAATGATGTCATTTTAGCTGGACTTTTCTTTTCCAGTTCCATAGCACATTATTTTCTTTATTTGGAAACCTCAAATAACTTTTTATATCACTTGCATTTTATTTATTAGAGCCTAATGTACAACATTTTGTTTTTATTTATATACTTGGTGAACCTGATGATTTTATGTTCTGTGGCTCTTGCTTTGCTGCATGTAAATATGCTTAACAAATTACTGTAATTGAAAAATAATCCTTCCCTGGCACTAATAGTTCTTTTATTATAACATGAGTTATTAAAATTTATTTAGTGTAATTCATTTTGCAAGTTATAGAGATGAATCATGTCTGTGTTAGGTAACTAGAAAATTGAGCTACTTTTCAGAAGTTAAATATTAATTTCAGTATTTCAACTTTTAATGGTTGGTAAAGATGACTGTTTTGAAGACTTGTCAATCTGTAAAGTTTTCCCTTTTATTTGGTTATGTTTATTTGGCTTATAGCCTTTGGCTTTTTGGCCATATAACATTTTGAATTTATTTGTTACTGTGTGGCATTTACCAGTTCTTTCTTTGGAAGAGTAGACTTGCTATGTAAATAAATTTGTATAATAAGCCTGTGGTCTTTCATGTTAAAAGTATTCTTCTTGGCTACTTGTGATAAAACCATGGTTCTGGGAACTTCTTCAGCAGCAACTGTTCCTCCCTCTCTTCTTTTAGGATCTTCCTGTTGAACTCATCATGATTGGAATAGCTTTACTACTACTACAGACTCCAGCCTGTCAGCAAAAGCCAATCTTAAGTCTAGGTAAATAAAAACACACTTACTAGAGTAACATGTAAATATATCCTAAGTGTTGGCAGGAGTCACTTGAACTGTATATTGTTCTAGTCTATATATTTTGAGTTTCTGTTTTGGATTTTTCTAATTAATCCTTATCAGATAGATTTTCTTTTTCTTGTCCAACAAGGTGTTACATTGTGCAAGACTCCATGTACTATGATTTACCAAGTTTCTTGACTGCATGTTAGGAAGTTATAATCTAAATCATTTAGCAGTAGCGTTAGTCAATATATTGAAGGACATATCATGTTATTCACAATTGTACAGTAAAATAAGAAATATTAGTATAAAACCCTTGAAAGCAGATAAGTGCTTAGCAGTTGCATATGTTTTAAAAACTCTTTATCTTTATTATTCATAACTGGTGCTACATTGAACAAGATTTAATTTATGGTTATTGTATTAACACAGCTAGAACAAATGAAAGAGTATTATTTTGACTGTCCAGTATTGTTTTAAAGAAAAGTGGAAGAGGTAGGCAAGGGAAGGCAAAAAATGTTCTAGTTAAGAATGATGTAGTACCCCACATCTTTAAAATTTTTTTAAAAAAGAATGATGTGGCAAAAAATCAAGTTGCTCCACCTGGTAGATTGGCAAACAAGTCACACCTTTTAAAATGCAGCTTTTACATTAGAGTGTCCTTACTTTACTTGGTCTAGTTCAATTTAATCCATGCAGTAATGACGGATCTGTCTAAATTATGTTATGTATACTGCCATAATATGTTGTTATACTTCCATTCTTATTTTTAAAAAATGCTTGAGATATGTACTTATTGTATAGCTCATTCTTCTGGGCATTGTAATTCATGATTTTGAGTGAATTGCTCTTTCATTTACAGTATGCCTTGGAAATGGCTTTAGCACGTGGAGGGTATCCTTGCTTTCAGGCTTTGATTCTTACCCTGCTTTTGCTTACTAGCCTTATGCTCCCTTGTGCCCCTCCTCCGCTTTTTGATCTTTTTTTGCCCTGTTTTTGCCTTTTTTTTTTTCTTATAGCAGTGCAAACGGCGTCTTCTTACAGGTATAATTTATTGGTGCTACTACTTATGACAGCCATAGCTTCATTTTTTTAAACAGCTTTGGTGAGGTATAATTTACATACCATAAACACACCATTTTAAAGTATATAATAAAGTGTTTTCTAGTACATTTATAGATGTGTACAACCAACACTGCGATCCAGTTTTAGAACTTTTCCATCATTCTTCCAGAATTTCTTGTGCTAAGTCTTATTCCCACCTCAGCAAACACAAATTTGCTTTTTGTCTCTATAGATTTGCCTTTTCTAGACATTTCATATAAATGGATTTTGGTTTTTGACCAAAAAACTCCAAAGCCCTAAATAAGTCACTTTTTTAGTTTGGAAGCTATGCTCCAATATTGTGACTCATGTAAAAACAGAAGGTTGATATAGAATCAAATGCTCAAATACCTTTTTTCTTTTGATTTAGGATCCCACTCTGTCATCTAGATTGGAGTGCAGTACATGATCACAGCTTAGCACACCTTTCTACTTCTGGGCTCAGGCTATGCTTCTACCTTAGCTTTCCAAGTAGATGGGACTACAGGCACACTCCAACACACCTGGCTAATTTATTTTTTATTTTTTATAGAGAAGAAATCTTACTATATTGCCCAGGCTGGTCTCCAACTCCTAGGCTCAAACAATCATCTCACATTGACCTCCCAAAGTGCTAGGATTATAGGCACTGCACCCAACCTCAAATACTTTTATTATTTGCTGGATAGAAGCTTTTTCCTTTTTCTTGTAAACCAGTGTCTCTGATTTGAAGTTACCATATTTGCAGTGAATAAACCATACGGAAAACTATTGAGCCAATATGTCATGTTGAAAAGGCAGAACTGTTGTTTATTATATTGGGAAAGGGTATTCAAAGAAATAGGATAATCAAGAGAATATTGATTATTTTAAATTTTAAAAATTCACAGCATTGATATTATGTTTTATAATTTTTAACACTAGCTCGAATATAAATAGCGACTTATACAAATGCTGAAAGATTTATAATATAGGATATTGAAATACTTGTGTTGTAGGCATTTCCTATTTTATTAAAGATAATGGGTTTTCATAACATTTCAACTAAGTATGGATTGAGATCAATATTTAGGCAGAAAAGTAAATTAGTGGTGTTAGAGTAACAGGTGTTTGTACTTCCCATCATGTTAAGGAGTGACTTCCAAATGATATAAAATAAAAAGCTGACAACTCATTGACATTATTTAGCTTATAGAATTTCTATGGTATAGTGGGGAAATCAGTTGATTAGTTTGATAATTTAACTTTGAAGCCCATGAATAACATCTTTCCATAAATCAGGGTTCATTCAGTAACCTTGAAAAAAACATTGTGAAAAAAGCATATCTGTGCTTTAATTTATTCTGTTAATAGTACAGAGGAGACTCTACATGTAACTATGTTATTGTTTAGCCGTGTCTATGTTTCTGACATTTATGTTGTTTCCATTTTAAGAAGAATCAATTATTAAAGATTGGTTTGTTGTGCTGATTGTAGACTTCAGAGCTTTCACGATCTGCTTCTTAGCAATTACAGCTGAAAGACTGTCCTTCACTTTGCTGTTGACTTAAGTATCTGCTAATGTTATTCACTGCAGAGTTTGTAAAGGAAGCATGTACTTTGGCCTTGTTATCCACTGATCAGGAATTTTTGGTATCTTAGTTCTATTTGCTGAGAGCAGTATTAGGATCTGAGGACATTAAGGACAATTGTTGATTGTGTATTAAAAAATTCATATTGATCTACAAAGGAATTGATTTACATCTTATGATATGATACATTTTTTTTGAGCATATCATCACTTTTTCAATTATATACATTAAAAGCTTGTTTTAGATAATAGTTAATTTTTAAATGTTCCTTTATTTATTTATTTATTTTTAGACATGAGATTTATCACTCCAGTTATGTGTCTGGTCCAGTTAGTTTAAAGGGCAAGAAAACTTTCGGGCATATTACTCTTAAATAAAATTGCATTTTGTTTGACTGTGGTATTAATTTTTAAAAATGTGAATTCTTGTTTCAATGAATAGCTTTGAAGCTTCTCTCTTGTGCTGAAGGCCAGAAAATTCCAAAGTCATCTCTGCTACTTGTGATGCCAATTTTGCAAATATTATCTTCTATTGCCTTGGAAGACTGTATATCCATGGACGAAGAAGGTCCCTCTAGGCAGCAGTTGGCTCTAAACCTTTTGGAAATGATACAACAGGAATGTTACAGAGATGACCACCCAAAGGTAATGAGTCTGTTCTTGTTTCTCTTAAATAAAGTGTTGATGTGAGATTTATGTCTCTGTGGATAATCTTAACTACTGATGCAGTATCTGTTTGGGTTTAAATTCTATCATTGAACTTTACCGTTCTGGCAGACAGTGCTGTAGCAGATTTTAAGATATTTTCTGGACTATAATAAAGGAGAGTAGTCCTGTAGTGAAGTAAGTTTTGAGAATGCTATGCATAATCTTTTTTCCTCTTTGCGATTCCAGTGCACATTAGTAGTTAAAGGTCCTGAGGGATTCTGCAGAAAAGGAGCTAATTCTATTTAACCTAGTGCTTCTCTGTCATATCTGAACATGGAATCCTTTTTTCCTTAACATACTGTTTAGTAAGTGCAGCATGTTGCTAGATCTGGGACAGTCCAAGGTGTGAAATGCTCCTCGAATGGCTGGAACTTCTGGAATCAGTGAGAACAATGACTTCATTTTTTAATATGGCACCTCATGTCATAATCTCTGGCATAACGACTCTTGATATCGCTTGTGTATGTCTGTTGCCTCCAACTGGAAGACTATAGGACTGTCACATGCCATTCCTAGTCCTGCCTGCCTCATTCTGCCTTTTCAGTCTCACTTTTCCTGTTGTAACATAACTGTTTGTCAATGTTTTGTTAGTGATTGAGTTCTAGACCTAGATTGGCCAGACTTTGCCTCTTGATATTTGAGTTTTGCCTTTATTAAAGTGCTACATTGCTTCCCAGCTTCTACTCTTATGGGGAAGGGAATGAGGATTGAGATAAAAGTTGGTGAAGTCTCCATGGAGAAAGGCACTGCATAACACAACCTAGAGCTATGGTTGTTGCATCATCTGCAAAAGCAGAGTTACCTCTTATGTCTTGTTAAATGTTTTGGCAGTAAAAAGTCTAGTCATTATTACTTCTTGTTTGAGAGTGTAGCAAAAACTAACCTATAATTGTAGGTAAACTGAATGTATATTACAGCTTCCTAAATCTGAATTGTTTGAATAAAACTTCTTTGAATAAGTAATTCATTTGAATTAATAAAAAGAAATTCATGTACCGGCACTGACAGAAGTATAAAATATGACTAAAAAATTCAAATTGACCTTCCACATTGACCCAGTAATCCCCATACCAGAAATATACCCAGAGGAACTCAAAGCATTCTACCAGAAAGATACCTGCACACCCGTGTTTTTTGTAGCATTGTTCACAATAGCAAAAATATGGAACCAGCCATGCTGCCCATCAAAACTGAACTGGATAAAAAATATGTGGTAGATATACACAATGGACTATTACGCAGCCATAAATAAGGACAAATATATGGACTTCTCAGCAACTTGAATGGATTCAGAGTCTGTCATACTCATGATCTATCACAGAAACAAAGAACTGAGTGCCAAATGTTCTCACTCACAAGCAGACCCTGAACATTTACCATAATACTTTAAGAAAGGGATGAGCAGTAGCAGGCCACTGCAGGGGAGGGAGAGAGGCACATTATATCAATAAGGGTACATGATCTCAAACCAGGTGAAGTGGGAACAAAAGGGAGACCCAAACTTTACCTGTACAATGACCATTTGCATACCTAATCCTGAATTGTACCCCACATCTTTAAAATTTAAAAAAAAAATTAAATTTCTAATAGCTTTTTAAAAAAATCTCACCTTTTGTTCTGCCCATATGGAACAATGAGTGAATCCTGATTTGGAGTGGGAACAGGACAAGATGTACTGTATCACTAAGAGTTTTGTTCTTTCAAATCACAAGTGTTATTTACTGAACATCACCCCAATTCTAATACCTAAGGACTTGGCCTTCTATTTGCTTAGGTGTGTGTGTATCTTATTCATCAACACTAATAACTGGACTTTTAAGCAGCTGGTAAGAAAGGCAGAGGAAGGAATGCTAATAGGGTTATAAACATCCTCCTTGTGACACTATGCTGCTTTATGGAGATTTTGAGTCTATGTATAGTCACCCTTAAAAAAAAAATTAAGCCAGCCAGGCTTGGTGGCTCAGTTTGTAAGCCTAGCACTTTGGGAGACTGAGATGAGTGGATTGCCCGAGCCCATGGGTTCAAAACCAGCCTGGGCAACTTGGTGAGATTTCGTCTCTACAATCAATCAAAAATTAGCTGGGCATGGTAGCGTGCACTATAGTTCCGGCTACTTGAAAAACTGAGGAGAAGGATCACCTGAGCCCAGCAGGTTGACACTGGGGTGGCCATGAGTGTGCCACTGCACTCCAGACTGGACGACAGAGTGAGACTCCAACTCAAAAACAAAAACAAAAACAAAAACTTAAACTACATCTCACTGTTGTTTTTTTTTCCTGTACCTGTCTGGGACTGTATATTCCAAACACACCTATGAATGTAACATATCCCAAACTCTCCAAGTCTCTTCCTGAATCTTTGCTTTTGCACATAATACTCTTTTATGTTGTCTGCCTAAACCATTCATTCTTCAAGCCTCAGCCAATTGTTTTCAGCTTCATTGCTGAGAATTCATCTCTCTTTTTACATCCCCTGCACTTTTTGCATCACTCAATTGTGCTGTGTCTTAATTTAGAGTTGTCACGTGTTTTTACCTCTAACTCTGCTATGAGCTCATTGAGCAGTAATACCTTGGCTGTTTTCATGCATTGCCTTTATTTCCTTAGGTATTTAGGAAGTTGTAACAATTTAAATAATTACTTTTAAAATTGCAGCAATTGCTGAACATTTTGTATTTTCCCACCCTGCTTCTGTTTTGTTTTTTTCAGGTGATCCTGAATGAGAGTTTTAAAAGTATTTTAGCCATTTGTCAAATGGAATACTTTCCTATTTTACATATAGTTAAAGAAATGGATAATATCCTGACTTATTTATCTTTGTGTCCACAATACCTGATCTACTGTTTACCACATAGTAGACATTCAGTCAATTTCTGTTCAGTGAGAAAAGTGTGCTTTTGATAAGAATGCAGAAGATAATTTTACCATCCTGATTTATTGTAGGAAGACCTCTGTATGAAAACCACAGATTTTTTTTTTTTTTTTTACACATGGTGGCCATCTTGGATATGAATTTCTTTCTAAATCTCTTTGCAAGGCAAATATTTTAAAAGTTTAATTTAATATTTTATTTATTTATTTATTTATACTTATTATTATTTTTTATTATCTTCTTTTAGTTTGGTGACTGACTTATGGTGTTTGATCTTAAAATAGCACAGTTCTTCAGAAATACATATTTTAAATAAATTTTGAGATGTAGGGTACAATTCAGGGTTAGGTATACAAATGTTCATTATGCAGATACCCTTGTTGAGAGATATGCCCCCCGCCTGCAATTTCCCACTACTGCCAATCCCGCCCCCTTCCTTCCTCCAACAGTTTCCCACTACTGCCAATCCCTTTCTTATATTATTAAGATAATTGTTCAAAGTCTGCTTATGAATGAGAACACGTGATACTTAGTTTTTTGTTTCTGTGATAGATCACTCAGTGTTGTAGACTCTAAGTTCATCCAAGTTGCTGCGAAGTTCATAATTTTGTCCTTGTTTATGACTGCATAATATTCCATTGTTCATATGTACCACATTTTTTTAATCTAGTCCCTGTTTTAATGGGCAGCAGCATTGGTTCCATGTTTTTGCTACCGTGAATAACGCTGCAATGAATATGTGTGTACAGGTATCCTTTTCATAGCATCATTTGAGTTCCTCTGGGTATATTCCCACTAGGAGGATTGCAGGGTCATATGGAAGGTCGATTTTTAGATTTTTTAGGAATTGCCATACTGTTTTCCACAGGTGTTGTATGAATTTATACTCCCACCAACAGCATAGAAGTGTTCCCTTTCCCCCGCATCCTATCATTTGTTTTTTGAGTTATTGATGATGACCATCCTGGCTAAAGTTAGGCGGGTATCTTAGTGTGGTTTTAATTTGCATTTCTTTGATGATTAGTGAAACTGAGCATTTTTTCATGCATCTGTTTGCTGCTCTTATGTTTTCTTTGAGAATTGTCTGTTCTTATCTTTTGCCCATTTTGTAATGGGACTTTTTTTTTGTGGCATGTTTGAGTTTCTTGTAGATCCTAGATGTTAGGTTTTTGTCAGATATACAGTTGGCAAATATTTTTTTCCCAGTCTGAGGGCTGTCTCCCAGCTCTCTTGATGGTTACTTTGACTTTGCAGAAGCTTTTCAGTTTGTTGAGGTCCCACTTGTCTATCTTATCCCTTATGGCATGAGCTTTTGGGGGTTTGATTAGGAATTGGTTGATTAGGAATTGGTTTCAATTTCCATAAGGGTGTCTCCTGCATTTTCTGTGTTTCTTATAGTTTGAGGTTTTATGTTTAAGTCTTTGATCCATTTAGAGTTGTTTTTCATGTATGGTGATAGGTAGGGGTCTTGTTTTAATCTTCTGCATGTGGTCAGCCAGTTTTCCCAGCACCATTTACTGAATAGGTTCCTCTCCCCAGTGGTTGGTGGTGAAGGCTTTGTCGAAGATGAGTTGGTTGAGGAATTGAGACTTTGCTTCTGGAATCTCTATCCTGTTCCATTGGTATGTATGCCTGTACCTGTACCAGCACCAGGCTGTTTTGATTATTATAGTTTTATAATAAAGTTTAAAGTCTGGGAGTGTGACACCTCCCGTTTTTTGTTTTGCTGAGGATTGTTTTGGCTATTCGTAATCTCGCTTATGTTTCCATATGAATTCCTGTATTGTAGTTTCCAGGTCTGAGAAAAATGCTGCTGGTAATTTAAATCTGTATATTGTCTTGAGTAGGATGGACATCTTAACAATGTTGTTTCTTTCAATCCATGAGCATGTAATATTTTTCAATTTCTTTGTGTCATCTTTGATTTCTTTGAGCAGTGTTTTTAGTTTTCATTGTACAGGTCTTTCACTTCTCTGGTTAGGAAGATGCCAAGGTATTTCATTTTTTTTCCTCGTTATTGTGAATGGATTTTGCTTTTTATTTGGGTTTCTGTTTGTTTATTGTTG